AATAATCTTAAGAGCATTACTGCATAGCTGTTGTTATTACATGCTGTCGAGTTGATTCTGACAGAGTACAGCTGTCTCATAGGGTTTCCTAGGCTGTTATCTTTATGGAAGCAGATTGCCTTGTCTTGTCTTCCATAGACTGGCTGGTGGGTTTGAACTGTTGATCTTTTGGTTAGCAGCTGAGCACTTAACCATTGTGCCACTAGGACTCCTACCTATAACCAAAAAACCAAAACAAACCCACTGCCATCAATCAAGTCAATTCTGACTCAGTGATTTCCACTGGGTTTCCAAGGCTGTAAATCTTCATGGAAATAGACTGCCTTACCTTCATCTCACTGAGCAACCTTCTAGTTAGCAGCCAAGTGCCTTACCCACCAGAGCTCCTTCAAGTACTATACATAATATTTAATGTTCTTATTCTGTAGCCACTACTTAAGAAGAGTGGTAAATAATTAAAAAAAAAATTGGATCAAAGTATTTAACATACTTTTGCCATAAAAAAATGTTAAGTTCCCTATGTCTTGAAAAGCCACCTAAAGGGAACTTTTCATTACGGTTTAAGGAACAAATATGTTACTGTAAATTAAGTTTCAAATAAGTGTTGCTCAAACTCCTTCAGTTGTTTAGCATTGTAACAGCACAGAGTCCAAGCTCTTCAGCACTACTTCTGCCCTTTTAACTGATTCCTATCGACATGCCCTGCTCATAAGCTACCTGGCATTCCACTTTCCAGCTACACAAACGTGCTCATGTTTTCTTGCAAATACCACACTCATCTCTGCTCCTTTTCATATATTGCTTCTGCTGCCTGGACAATCTTCTCCTTCTTCCAGTGGCTCATTTATATTAGCTCCTCAAAAGTATCTCCTTAAATCCTCCCACCTCCAATCCTACTATCTAGGTGATCCCTAAAACCTCACACTCTACTACTGTATGGTCTCCTTACTGTTGTCTCCCTTTCAGGATTAAAAGCTTATTGAGGACAGGGACTGTACTCATCTTTGCAACCTCAACAAACAGCAAATGATACTCAATAACCATGTGTTCCATATTCTTGTTAGGTGCTGTCAGGTCGGTTCCCACTCGCAGTGACCCCAGGTATGAGAGAACCAACACTGCCAGTGTGCCATCACCACAATGGATGCCACGCTTGAGCCCACTGCTGCAGCCACCGTGTTCATCCATGTCGTTGAGGGTCTTCCTCTTTTTCACTGACCCTCTACTTTATCCTTCTCCAACGACTGCCTCTTGACAACACGACCAGAATACGAGAGGCAAGGTCTTGCCTCCCTGCTTCTAAGGAGCAGCCCAGCTGCACTTCATTCAGGACAGATTTGTTTATTCTAGCAGCTTATGGTACAATAAAAATTCTTCGCCAACATCTTAATTCAAATGCACTGATCCTTCTTTGGTCTTCCTTATCCATTGGCCTGCTCCTTGAACAATTTCTCTTAGAAAGATCAGCACGAGGCCGGTCCCCATGAGGCGGAGGTCAAAGATGTCCCAAATGTCCAAACTACCATGCCACTCCATCATTTCAGACATTAACTCCTCCTCCTCCTCCCAGTAATTTCCCCAGTCTTGTTGTTGTTGTTGTTATGTGCCGTCGTGTCAGCCCCGACTCATAGCAACCCTTTCTTGGGTTTCCGAGGCAGTTATCACTACGGAAGTAGGATTGCCCAACCTTCCTTCCGAGGAGTGGCTGGTGGGTTTGAACCGCCAGCCTTCTGGTTAGCATTCAAGTGCTTTAGCCACTATGCTACCAGAGCTCCTTTCCCCAGTCTTAGGGTTCTGTATTTCGCTGTAACGCCTCACAGAACTCACAGACACCCAAGGGTTCATCTCACGTAGTAGTGGTGGAGGCTGGCAGGCTGGCGAGTCCCAGGTCCGTGAGTAGGTCTGGCGGATCCTCCCAACTCTCGGGGTTTGGTGAACCTCGATCAGCAGATCAGATGACGGCTGCTGTCCCAAATCCAGGGGTGAGATGAGGATGATCCAAGACACAAAGCCAGAGCAAGGGGAGAGCGAATCTTCCCAGGAGATTTGTAGGTATACCCTCAGGGAAGCTAAACGTGGTGATTTGAATTATACCTTCCAGCAAGGCAGGACTCAAGATACATTCCATCTGTGTTGCCCCAACAGAATTAACCTAAATCCCATCAGAGTTGATTGCCAGTCATTATAGGGAATGACTACTACCAGCTGCCCAGCCAAGCTGATACCTGACCTTAACTACCACACCACCCCAAATAGGCATGGATAATGGGATTTACAAAACACCACAGAATGGAGGACAATGGTTAGAGGGCCACATCAAGCAATTCGGTGCACCTGCTTTCACGTGCATATGACCGGATTGAAAATACCATGGCTTGGGTAAGGCACACCTTATTCCTCAAAGTAAACACCAATTAAATGACCAATGCTATTAGGTAACACATAGGAAATGCTGCTTTATGTCCTCTGTAAAGCACCGTTTTCGGTATAGTAAGTTCTTTACCAACTTAAATGCAAAATCTGAGATAACCAATCTAAAAAATTGTTCTGACAAGCAATTGTAATTTACAGAAAATAAAAAAAAGCATCATTTACCAGATCTCTATTTTTCAAGGCAATCAGGCAAACTAATCACTTTAAAGGAAAACCGGAGACTCTATCAATTTATATCCACCTGTAGATTCAATTTGTTAGATTCATTGACAAGAATTTGAAGGGTATTCAACTCAGTATCTGGCCTTACATAATTAGAATAAGGAAGTATCAATTATGAAGGCTGGAAAAGTTGTGACCGTTGTAAACCATAGATTCTTTTGCTACTCAATGTCCCTGGCCTTTCACATAATTCTTACTTACCAAAACCATGTGGGCTATCAGGTTGCCACCAAGAGCTCCAAAAGTATAGTATACAAGGGCCTGTGAAAGAATGAAAGATGCTTAACTGAACATAAGCACATATTTATCAAATTCAAATCACAGCTTACAATAAAAATTTAATAGTATTACCTTTGCTTGACTTGAATTAACACCAAGGCCAGATGCATAGAGAAAGCCAAGGGCCTGAAACAAAATGGTAAAAGTAAGAAATCTTCCTTTGGTAAAAGTCTACAAAAGATACGGTTTTATGCACTATAAAAGGTGCAAGTGACTTTTATTGTTACAGAGCAGAACGGTGCAAATATACACAACTGTGGAATTAAAGAGCCTGAAAAATACATTCGTGGTTTTGCAAATTAGACAATAAAATATTACTTGATACACGTTGCAAAGTTTAGCTTGAAGATTAAAAACAATTTCATAAAATATTAACTAGACAAATCAAAGCTGAATACACTTAAATGTGAGTTTTGCTTCATCTTTATGAGCAGCTGTTATGGAGAGAAAACACACAAGCGTTACACATCATCTATGCATGGGATACACTAAGAAAAAGGACAGGATATCACTAAGATAAATTATCCCAGGAACAAAAGGAGGCAGCAAAGCATCAAGATGAGGAAGAAGGGAGGAAAATGGCACTTTACAATGTTAGAGCACAGTTTTCTAACAGAAACAACATAATAATACATTTGCCTTGTGTTGAATCATCCTTAATAACATAAAGAGTAAGTTAAAGTTATAAAGGCAGCAGGTGTGGCAGGGACTGCTAGTGCTTATCAAATACCCATGTGCTCCTCTTCATTTTCCAGCTTCCCTAGTACCTGGGATGTGACCAGGGGTGACATACAAGCCGTTTTTAACCATGGCCCTTAAAAATACTCCACAGATTCTCTGGCCTGCTCTTATCCTTTCCTGGTATTTGCAGCCCCATGTTCCACATGATGGAAGCAGCCCACAACCCTCAGTCACCACTTGGAAGAAAGGGATGAAGGCAGGAGAGCTGGACTGAACCTAGAATGAGCAAGGAAATCCTCTGTGGTAGTAAGTCACTGTGATTCGGGGCTTTGTCTGTTGCATCAGTTAGAATGAATTTCCATGGAGAAAGTGCTTTGCAGTATATAAAGTGTCTAGCATTCTAAGTCTATTAGGAGGAAATATGTTTACCAAGTGAAACGTATTCTGAATATATGTCTGAATTTTATATCAACTGGTTTAGGCAAAGAGGAGAAAAAAAGCTTCAAAAACAAATGGGAGCAATTAAGATGTAATTTGTATAAAAACCAAAATCCAGAACAGACAGAGTTGCAGACTGGTTAGCTATTCATTATTATAGAAAGCAATGACCAAGATGATTACTATTATTTAAATAGTCTGTTATTGCTTATTCAGACTTCTTCTAAGCATGGTTAGAAATTTTGTTTTATCTTTAAGCAAATCCTATAGCTTGAATAGGGAGCTCTGGTAGCATAGTGGCTAAGGCACTTGACTGCTCACCAGAAGGCTGGCGGTTCAAACCCACCAGCCACTCCTGGGGAGGAAGGTTGGGCAATCCTACTTCCGTAGTGATACTGCCTCGGAAACCCAAGGAGGGGTCGCTATGAGTCGGGGCCGACTTGACGGCAAATAACAACAACATAGCTTGAATAAACTGGAATTACGGAAGGCATTTAGAATAAATGTGGTGTCCTCCTAAATCTAAGTGTTACTCTTAACATCACTAAGTATGAATCAACCAGATATTATGTATTGACTGATACGATGCAATGTGAAATACACAACATCCATACAGTCTAGCCAGAAATATTTTACATGAATTCATCAGCCTTCCACTGTGACATCCAGTTTACAGGAAATATATAGAAAAAGAAACCAAATGACACCATGAAGAAGCAAACAGACAAACTGAGGTAGGACTTCCTGCAGAAAAACTGGCCTATCTCTAAGAAAAAAATGGGGTTGGGGAGGCTACACTAGCAATAATCTTATCTAAAATATAGTTCTGGACTGAGTATTATTTGGACAAAAGAGTGTAAAGAAAATTTGTGGTTCAATTGGGGAAACATGAACATGGTGTGGGCATTTCTAACAGTTGAGTGGAATGAAATAGTGAAAACTGTTGACTGAAAAGAGCAAGGTATGGAAGGGTACAGTAGAATCTTATTTTAATAAAGAGTCTTATGAATACACTTACAGAGAGAGGTCTAGACAGGTATGTGTGTGCTAACATTAACAAGTGGGAGGTCTGGGTGGCAGAGATGTGGTGTTTACTTTTTTATTTCTGTTAGTTTGTAGCTCTACTTTTCTGTATTATACACGTATACTGCCTCTGTAATGAAAGATTATTTTTTAAAAGGACATTAAGATTAATGAAAGCTGGAAGATTTGAACTGTGGTAAAAATGCAGTGATGAGTAATTTCAAATAAAAGATAATGATCTTCATTTCATTCTCTACAGATCTCATTAAGAAAATAATGTAGTTATGGGACAATACAAATGCAAAAATACTTTTATTGACCATAAATTTTCTCTAAGAGGAAAGATTGTCCAAGAAGACTGGTAAAAGGGTCTATCACAAAATTAATATTCAAAGATTTTTACCTTCCAGACTTACTTGCTAAAAGAAGTCAGGACATAGAGAGTAAGTAGCTGTGAAAATAAACAAGAGCTATGTGTGGAGGGTCCCCTCTGAAACTGCACTTACCGTCTGTCCCTTGGGCGATCCTTCCTCATTCAGTTTCTCAAACATCTCTTTAGCTGCCTGGATATTCTGTGTCAGGTAATCACCAAACAAAAGAGCATATGACACTCTCTCCAGGGCCTTGGTATGGTTCATACTTGCTGCCTTTTGAAGATACCGATATGCTCTTCAAATATAAGTTAAAAAAGGAAAAAAAATATATATATAAGCAATGTTTTGGAACTATGATTAAAAATTTTTTTCAAGATACTAGCATGTAGCATAAATCATTTTCTTGGGGTATAAAATCGCTCTGATATCCTGAGTCCACTAAGTCATGTCATTCACCCATTTAGAAAACATCTTGGCTACTCTGTTTTCACATAAGGTACTAGTTTTCTCTTTTATCCTGAATTCTTGGAATAATCTAATATTAACAGCAATTCTAAACACTTCTATTAAAAATTAACTGACTTTTCAATTAGAGAATTATAGTAGAACAATGGTACCTAGTAAACAATCCAATGTGATAATCACTGTAATTTTCTTCCCAAATCTTTCCACAGACAATATAAAAAATCAGCTGAAATCAATTGAACATTAAACCTTAGAAAAGACAGTCCCTTGTTCTACATTTCTCCAAATGCAAAGTCCTAAATCCCAATCTTTGCCTGGTAGAAAATTACAAAACAATATACAACAACTCCCTTTATTTTTTTTATCTTATTTCACTCTGAATTCTGAATAGTATATATATTGCTGGTTCTCAGAAACTATTAAAGTGTTAGCCAATTATTTCCATTTTGCTGACTGTTCATTTTGAGATCAGTATTTATAACCATTTTGTTCCAACAAGCTGACACTGGATACAAGCAATGCCACTAAACTCCATAAATCATATTAAGTTTTCCCGTAATGCAACTTAAATCCTTGGGTGTCTTTAGCAGCACACTTTGAAAAATACGTAAATAAATAAATACTCAGTAATTTATCTCGGGAAAGGCCCACTTGGGGGAAGAATGGACTTGGCCGTGCTACCTACTCTCTTTTCTGGCTCTTCTTACTGCTCCCATTGAGGATTCTCATCCCAGTCTGGTACATCATTTCTGCTTCCTGCGTCTGCCTTCTTTTAGCAGCTTCTTCTTCAGCTGTAAATAAAACGTCCAGGCATTTAAACAAATTTTAATGCCACACACAATTATTTATCAAACATCAATCAATATTTACTCTTTCTTTTGGGTAGTCATAAAAAATTAGTGACCTTTCACTATTTCCAAATCTGAATTTAAAGACACATGGTTTAAATGTGGCTGCTACCTAAGACTTTTTTTCTTTTTTTAAAGAAATAAAACTAACTGTAGTCACTTTCTTTCAGAGAGAGCAATACAAACTGCTTTTGAAAGGTACTTTTCTGCCTGTCATTCTAAAACCTTTTATATTGCTCAGCTAGAATTTTAGTAGGGGTTTATGATTATATACCAAAATCAGGAGGACATCAGAGAACAGTAGTTGTACTGTCACAGTCATACTGTATTCCTTTACAAGGAGAAAGTATTTATGATTATTTACACAATAAACATTGTAGAAAAAGTGACTTTTAAAAATTATATATGGACACTAATTTAATATTTAAGTTTGCTAAATTTTTTTCCTATTCACTGATACGACACTGAAAATCACAGAACTATTATATAGATTTTTCAAAAATTATTGCTGGAATGTAGCATTTTTGACAAATTAAGAGACATTTGATTGTTTCGGTTATGGACTAACAGATACAGATGTGAATTCATATAATACAAAAACAAACAATCTGAAGTGTTATACTGGAGGACCCAGTCACACTGGTTTATATCCAAGGATGTACTATATTTGACGTTATCTTCTAGGAAGGCCCAGGTATTCTATTAGAGCCATTATTTTCAAAATGCTATTTGGTACCAACAAGGGTATACTTAAGATTTTCTGTTACTGTTATTTTATAGTTAGAATTTTTTTTTGAAAACATAGCTTGCCTGTAGAGGTCAGCCCCTTTTGTACTGACATTAATACTTAAATTGACTAGATATATTATATCTGCTTAATGTTATTTTACCATAGCACATTTCATGCAAAGTATTTTAAAAAGATACCATTTATTTTTCTTCTAATCACAGTTATATTAATTAGTTTAGCAGCCTGCCTAAAAGTTTGTGGAACAACTTGTACATACCAACTAAAATCCATGTCGAAGGAAGACTTGGGTATGATATACTGCCTGAGGCATGGCCTGGAAACAAGCATATTGTATGCTTCCTGCTCCTAAGTCTGTTCTTTAAGTCTATAACCAAATCATTAACACTTACCATACCAAAAACCAAACCAAACTCACTGCATTTGAAATGGATCCGACTCATAGCAACCCTTCCCTGGGTTTCTAAGGTGGTATCAGTACCGAAGTAGATTGCCCAATCTTCCTTCCCAGGAGTGGCTGGTGGGTTTGAACCACTAGCCTTCTGGTTAGCAGTTCAATGCCTTAGCCATTACGCCACCAGAGCTCCTTAACACTTACCAGTTCTGACCAAGGTAGAAAAGGCATTTAAAACGTTGGCCTGGACAGAAAACATGTGGATGTTCCCTCCTTACAATGTAACACTTACTTTCACAAAAGCCCCACTTTTCATCTGCCTTGTAATCATAGGTTGTGGCACACCACAGTCTGCCATCTTCCCGTCCATCTGATGTACATTCATCATACTCCTTGTCCAGAAAGAGAAAGGGGAAGTGGCAGGGCTCCCCATGTGATGTGCCCTCAATGGCAGTCAAAACTGGAGAGACAAGGAAAAAGAAACATCTAAACATAAACAGTACCTTGGTATTCATGGATTAAACAGTTCATTTTAACTGTTAGGATCTGAAGACTGAGATCCACAGTGTGTGACTTGTAATGGGGACACAAAGGGCCTCACACCAATTCTGATTAGGAATGACTCGAGAATGACTCACTTAGTAGGCATGTCTTGCTGACATATATCGCACATAGATATTTAGTACTGATCATGACCAGTATTGACACTTAGAATTTCTGAAGGTGCTGATACAATTTTAGGGATGTTAAAAGTCTACTGTGTAACTCCTGCCCAGCTGTTGTTGTTATGTGCCGTCGAGTCGGCCCCGACTCATAGCGACCCCTCCTTGGGTTTCCGAGGCAGTATCACTACAGAAGTAGATTGCCCCATCTTTCTTCCAAGGAGTGGCTGGTAGGTTTGAACCGCCAGCCTTCTAGTTAGCAGTCAAGTGCCTTTGGCACTACGCTACCAGAGCTCCCTAATTCTAATTTTAAATTCTTTCCAAGTATCTCCTTAGTGCTGGGAGTTATGCCAGCTTCTGTAGATAATGTGCCACTGAGAACTTGTTGCCTACCAAGGAAGAGAGACATTAGACAGAAGAGTGAGGCACGTTACGGAAGGCAAAGTCTTCCCTGCCAGGAACTGAAGTTTCGATGGAACTTCAAAGATGTGCAGGAGTAGATGGTAGATGAAAGGTTCAGGTGTGAGGACAGCAAAGCGTTGCAGACTGGGGAAACACTGTGTGCTAGAAATCAGATGAAAGAGAGAATGGCATATCAGAGAAAATAAAAGGAGCTCAATATAACAAAACGTAGTGTGAGTGGCAAAGTGGGCAAGAGAAGATGGAAAAGCATGCAGATGCCAGACTGACAAGGTCCTTACCTGTCCTCTGAAGGAGTTAGGACTTTATTCTGAGAACAAAGAGAACCTGCTACAGTTTTAAGTGGCAGTGACATGCTCATACTTATAGTTTAGGCAGAGAGTGGAGAATGGAATGGAAAGGAATGCTGGATGCTGGATGAAAGGTGAGGAGTTTGAAGGCTGTGGCAACAGTCTAACTGAGAGGCAATGCCTAAAGGGGGCAAGGGGGATGAGAGAAGTGGATGTACTCAGTGCCACTACGGACACAGATACGGTAGCACTTCATGATTCTCTAGACAGGCAGGTCAGAGAACAGAGGAGTCAGGGAAGACTCCCAGGTATTGTAAGGCTTAAGGAAATGCTAGATGGTTGCCCTTACAGATATAAACAACACCAAGGGAGGAGTAGGTCATTGGGTGCGGTGAAGTGGGTCAAGAGAGAGACAAACTTGGATCATGCTACATTCAAGGGGGGCTATAAAACAAACAAACAAAACAAAACAAAGAAAGACATCACAGACATCTCTTTAGTTGTAACCAAAGAGAAAGTTCTTCTGTATGTTGATAGTACTTGAAGTCAAAGGTGTTCACAAGACTGCTCAGTGAGCGTGTATAAGACCAGAGTTAGGACTGAGCAGATGCACACTAAGTATGAATAGAGTCAACTGCCACGGGTCACTTTTACATGGAGAACTTAATTAGGAAGCAGATTAAGAGTCCAATGCTGATTAAGTAATTACGAGTGTAGGTTCTGGAACAAGAACACGTGATTTAAATCCTACCACTTAATATTATTTAATCTCTTTATTTGTAAAATTATTTGTAAATATTTTCCTTATCTATAAATAGGGATGTAAAGGCTTCACCATGGTGCATGCCACTTAAGGTAGTAAGAATTCAAGAGGCTATTACTACTAGTATCTTTTCTCTGAAAAGCTATAAAGTGTCTTTCCTTTCTTTCCAGTATAAAAAAGGAAACATTCTAACACACTAAAAAGCATTTTTAATAAGTTAGGAAAGATAAAATGAATTTCAAATGTTTACTACCAGGTAAATGTCATTCATTATCCTCATATTTATTTACTTAAGGCAGATAACCTTTTCAACTTTAATCTATCCACATTTTTAAGTAACAATCTTTAATGCAAAGTAAAAGCAAAGTAACCTTCAGCAACAACCTCAGAGGGGTCAGTCTGACTACAGAATTTGAAAAGGGCACTAACATGTACTGCGACTAGATGCAAATCTCCTCGAAACGAAGTTTCTGTAAAACCACAGCTGATAAACTTGAATTTCAATTTAAAGTACGCATAATGGTTTAAAAGAATACAAGCAGTCCACAGGTCATGAATGTTGGGTGTACAACCTGTAGTTATAAACCAACCCCTGTAACACCTATTACATTAAAGATTCGAGGTAAATGGTTTGTTAAGAACAAACAGGTGCCACTTTCTGATGCACAGCAAAACATCATTATTATTACTGTATTTTTATATTAAAGAAGCTTTAGTGTATCTAGAAGTGTTTCTTTAATGTTTAAATATATAGAAAGGTACAAACATTTGACTGATACAAACCATACCTAACTGTGCTGACTTTATACAAATTCGACATAAAGACAGACTTAGGAATGGAGCTTGTTCGTACTGGAGACTGCCTATATTTGATATATATATGTATTTTTTCTGTAATAGCAATCCTAGTTTTATAACAAATAGATTATTGCACAGGGAGAAGCTCAGGGAGTAGGAATACATAAGAAAAAGGACACACAGAAGAGGTAACTACAGGAAGGAAATGGGAAGAGAGCTATTACACCGTGGGAAATTGTAGTCAATGTCATGAAAACAAAATCATGTAAAGTGAATTTGCTCTGTAAACTTTTATCTAAACCAGAATAAAAATAATAATAATAAACTTGAGTTTAATTATAGGAATTCTAATTTGCTAAAACTTATACTTTCCAACACACAAAATAATTCTCTTTCATGTGATGGAACTGTAGAACAGAAAAGAAAGTATAAAGGACCAAGTGGCTTTTTGGCAACAAACATTTTCACCTACTGATTATTCAGCACTGACAAAAACATGAAGAACCTCCAGGATGCACCTGCTTCACAGTTTAGTTAAAACTGAAACTTGTCAGAGAACGTTTTTACTAGCAAGTTATTAGAAACAAAATTTATGTCTCTGGCTATTTTCTCCAAACAAAAACTCAAAATAGGGAAACTTTAAACTTATTTTAAAGTCTTGCAAAAGTTACCAAGATTGCCTAGTTTCGAATCAATTATCGTAAACAGAAATTTTTACAATAGGTGTTAATTTCAGTAATTTTCCTTCCATGGAGAAATGCTGAAAGAATTTCAAAGCTATCATTTTAAAAACCTCCATAAAACTGCTACCAAGCATTTTAAGAACAGTAATCGCTGCGCCAGTATAATGGAGCTGACTGATTGCGCAATTCAAGTTAATTTGAGCCAGTAATCAAATCTGACACTTAAAATGAAAGAGGAAAGATGTGTCATTAAATCAATTCATCACCTTCATGTAAAAATTCATATTTTGTAGATAAGGAATCATGTTTCAGTTCTACAATAATGACACAGTATTATAACCTATGTATGCAGATCTCAAGAGAAAGATAATTTATAGTATATGAGAACTTGTAATAATAAACAGACTGCTTTATATTTAAATTAGTAAAAATCTGCTTTTTCAAAGTCAATTAAAATCATTCAAAAGCTAGAAAAGGTTAAAACAAAACAAAACAACCCAACAACAACAAAAAACCCTGAAAATATTCAGTGAAGGCTAGAGTATGAGTAAATGGGTACTTTCATACTTTTGGCAGCTTAGTGCCTAAGGCATCTGACTGCTAACCAGAAGGCTGGTGGTTCAAACCCACCAGCCACTCCTTGGAAGGAAGATTGGGCAATCTACTTCCATAATGATACCACCTCAGAAACCCAAGTAGGGGTTGCTATGCGTCGGGACCGACTCGACAGCATTGAATTTGGGGTTTTTTTTTTTTTTGGTATTAGAATTAAAAAAAGGTTTTTAAAAAAGGTGCATCTCTTTAGAGTCAGTTTTTTACTTTCTAGAATGTCTGTAGAAATGCTCTTACAAGGACTGAGAATATGTGCAAGAGAGTATTTGCGCAATATTAAAATTTTTTAAACATACAACCAAAAAAGAATTCAAAGGGCTATCAATAGGAGATTGGTTAAATCAATTCCAGTGCAGCCATCAAATGGAAACCTGGGCAGCATCAACAGAGATGGAATGAAAGGGCACTAGAACATAGCTAAGGAGCCCTGGTGGCATAATGGGTAACTGCGTGGCTGCTAACTGAAAGGTCAGTGTTTCAAACCCACCAGCCTCTCCAAAGGAAGAAAGATGTAGCAGTCTGCTTAGATAAAGATTACAGTCTTGGAAACCCTACGGGGCAGTCCTACTCTGTCATCAAGGCCGCTATGAGTCAGAATTGACTCAATTGTACACAACAGAACACAGCATAGACAGAGAAGAGAATTACAGGCTGTCTTGAGGCAAGCTCATGTTTTGAGATCAGGCAGCCAAGCAGCTCTAGGAAAAGGAAGTGATCAAGTGTACCAAGTACTGGTGAAGGGTCAGTAAGATGAGGACTAAGAACTGACTCATATTCAGCAATTACAATGAGACTGGTGATCTTGAGAAGCGTAGATTAAGTGGCATGGAGGGCAGTAGAGTGGTGGTAGCAGAGCTGGGTTACAGAACTAAGAGTGCAAATGAAATCTGACTATCAACAACTTGCTCAAAGAGTTTTGCTATAAAGGGGCTAGAGAAATGGAGTGGTAGCTGGAGGGAGATTTGGGGCCAGAAGATTTTTAACATACAATCTATTACAGTTTCTATGAATGTTGATAAAAATAATCTGAGAGAGAGTGCGCACGAGCATGTGCAAGAATGAGTACTAAGTAATTGTGGCTTGAATGTTGTTATACGCACTGAATTAAATGTCTTGGGAATACCAACATATCTTTTCTTCATTTTTAACTGTAAAATAAAATCAAAACAAAATTAAAAAAAAAAACTTAACTTCCTGATTTACATAGACAAAGGCAAGAGATTTAGTTTTGA